AGAAAGAGAAGTATTCTTAGCAGAGTCTTCAACCAGAGATCATCTTTTGTTTATTGTCACTGCTAAACTTTCCATGGATTAGAGGTCATATTTAACTTTGAGTGAATCAAATTTCACCCTTTAATTGATATTAATGCATACAGTATCTTAAATACAAAACCTTCTAGTACTTTCTAATAATACTCTTCATGGAACTATTATTTTTTATTTTTATTTATTTATTTTAATATAAATTCTTTATTGTTTAAGGTATTACATGAGTCTCCTTTTCCCCCCCATTGACCTCCCCCAGGCCACCCCCACCTCCCAACCAGTAGCTATGTCATGCACTGACCACCAGGGGGCAGAAGCTCAATGCAGGAGTTGCCATTACATGCACTGGCTATCTAATTATATATATATATATATATATATATATATATATATATATATATATGCACCTCCCTAACCAGTTTATCTTAGTGGATGGAGCATTGGCCTGCAGACCCAAGGGTCCCAGGTTCGGTTCCGGTCAAGGGCATGTACCTTGGTTGCGGGCACATACCCAGTGGGCTGTGTGCAGGAGGCAGCTGATAGATATTTCTCTCTCATCAATGTTTCTAACTCTCTATCCCTCTCCCTTCCTCTCTGTAAAAAATCAATAAAATATATTAAAAAAAAAACCTAAGCAACCAAACAACTGGTTGACTGGTGGCTATGATGTGCACTGACCACCAGTGGCCAGACGCTCAATGCAGGAGCTGCCCCCTGGTGGTCAGTGTGCTCCCATTGAGGGAATGCTGCTCAGCTGACTGGCCTGTCCCAGTGGCCCACCAGCCCAGTGGCAGCCACTCACTCCCTCAGTAGTCCTGCAGGTCCAATCTCCAGAGACTGGGCCAGGCACCTATGGACCAGCACCACTGGCACTATCCCGATAGCGCTGCCTGCCTCCTGGAAGTTGGTCTCGGGCACCGCGACCACTTCCCCTCCCTAGACGCTCCTCAAGGAAGATGGGATATAAAAGCAGCCTCCAGGTGGCTCCCAACAACCAACTTAAACGTCAGCAGGGTGGATCTGGATCCCAGGCCAGCAAGGGTGTCCCACCACCAACCTGGAAGGCCTTTCGCATCCCTGCTCCTCCCCCAGGCCCCCTCGGGACAGGTGCCTGCTTGTGAGCCCTGTGGCAGGCACAGCGGTGCTGGGATGAGCGGGAGGGGCAGGCGGCATTGAACTGCCAGTGTCGACCGATCCCCGCAGGCCACGCCGAGGGACCCCACCCATGCACGAATTCATGCACTGGGCCTCTAGTATATGTATAATGGAATAATACTCAGACATACGAAAACATAAAATACTGCCATTTGCAACAACATGGGTGGATCTTGAGAATATCATGCTAAGCAAAATAAATCAAAGTCAAGAACCATATGATTTCACTCATATATGGGGTACAAAACTGAAAGCAATAAATTAATAAAAAACAAACAAACAAAAACTCACAGACAACAGTAGGGTATTTACTAGAAGGAAAAAATTATGGGAATGGGAGTTGTAAAGAGTAGATGGGGTCAAGAGTATGGTGACAGAAGATTTGGCTTTGGATGGTGGGCATACAATCCCATATATTAAAAGCCTAATATGCAAATTGACTAAACAGCTGAATGACTGGTCACTATGACACGCAGCAACCACCAGGGGGCAGATGCTCAACCCAGGAGCTGCCCCCATCCCGAAGGCCCCAGGCCGGCCAAGGCAGGTGCCAGTGGGGGCCCCTTGATTGCCCCACCGGTTGTCCCATGGAGGGAGGCGACTGGCGGTAGGGGCAGGGGATGGGGCTGGCAAGCGGACAGTGCCAGGCTGGCCAAGGCGGGTGCGAGCATGGGACCCCAATTACCCCGCCAGTCGCCCCACAGATCGGCCGTGATCGCTGGCCAGGAGTAGGATTCCTACCCATGCACGAATTTTGTGCATTGGGCCTCTAGTGTAATATACAGATGATGTATCATAGAATTGTACACTTTAACCTATACAATTTTATTAAGCAATGAATGTCACCCCAGTAAATTTAATCAAAAAAAATAAATTTAAGCAACTTACAAAATAACATATTAAAAACAAAGGTATTAAATGCTAAAAACTCATAATTCCTTAATTATTTTTGCTACATTTTACTATTACTAATGTGTTTTAAGTTATTTATGTCTATTATACCTGCATGGTTGAAATACTATATAGAGGTGTGCAATTGCACATCTCTTCCCAGCACCTCTTTCACTGACCTGAATTGGTACCTTGGATGGGATATTTATAGCACAGAATCAACTAAAACTACAATGCAGGTTTTGTGGGTTTTTGGTGTTTTTTAAAAATCTCTGCCTTTCCAGAGGTGTCTGCTGCTAAACATTTACCAGTAACTACTGCTTAACTCAGGACATAGATGAAATGTAACTTAGTGGACCACAACAAAGGCCTCTGAATCTGCCCTTGCCCATTACTATCTATGTTGTCTTGTACAAATTCTTAACATTGAGTGGCCTGTCTCATCACCTTTTTTTTTTTCCATCACCAAAAAGGATTTATTCAGGAAAAAGGAAGGATTGTAACTCAGAACTTACAGACTTGGTGAGCTGCGTGCATTTTCTCAGTCTCATCATCTTTAAAATGGTTTGCAAATACCTCTTAAGTACTTAGCACTATACCTAGATCTGAACTTGAAGTGACCGGTAAATGCTAATTGTAATCACTATCAACCATGAGATGTAGTAATGAATTATAGAATGGGCTGTAGTAGATTTAGTTTTATATTCAAGACATTTGGCAATATAGATAAGTCATGTTTTTCATAATTTAGTTATTTCTTTATATAGAATGCTATGCCTTAGCAACGACAGTATAGGGAGAAGTCAGTAGCATTCTGAAAACAATTATAGGTAGTAGGGTTTTTATACTTGTAGAAAATTTATATTTGCTTTCCTAATATTTGATCCTTTATTTATAATTACATCTTTTACTATTGCAAACACCTTGCGTAAACCATTTAATATATGGTATTGATTTAACCAACTATCCAGCATGATCCAGTGTCAAGTTTTTGGCACCAGGACTTCATAGAACTAAAGTTTCATATTGATTCTGTTTAAACTTACTGCATTTACCAGGGCAAAATAATCTATCTACCTGGCCTTCAACTTTCTCAATTTTATTTTTAAATTTTTTAAATTAATTTCTAAGACTGTTTAAATTACAATTTACATTATTATTTTTAGTTTCAGGTGTACAGCGTAGTGGTTAGACAATAATATACTCTACAAAGTGTTCCCCCTGGTATTTACAGTGCCCAACCAGCACTAAACACAGTTATTACATTATTACCTATATTCCCTATGCTGTACTATACATTCCATGACTATTTCATAACTATCAATTTTTATTTCTCAATCCCTTCACCTTTTTCACCCAGACCCCCAATTCTCCTCCTCTCTGGCAAATATCAATCTATTCTTTGTCTATGAAGTCTGTTTTAATTTTGTTTATTTAGATTGTTCTTTAGATTCCACATATAAATGAAATCATGTGGTATCTGAATTTTTTGTACTTTATTTCACTTAACATAATGGACATCTAAGTCCATACATGCTGTTGCAAATGATAAGATTTCATTCTTTATGTCCAACTAATATTCCATTGTATATCTTTACCACAGCTTTTTTATTTACTCATCTATTGATGGGCACTTGGGTTGCTTCCTTGGCTTGGCTATTGTAAATAATGCTGCAAACAAAACAAAACAAAACAAAAAAAAACAAACAAAACAAAACATAGGGGTGTATATATCCTTTTAAATTAGTGTTTTGGGTTTCTTTGATTACCCAGAAGTGGAATCTCTGTCATAGGCAATACAATTTTTAATTTTTTGAGCAACCTCCATATGGTTTTCGATAGTGGCTGTACCAATCTGCATTCCTGCCAAAAGTGCATGAGGATTCTCTTTTTTTTCACATCATTACCAACTCCTGTTATTTATTGATTTATTGGTAGCCATTTTAACAGTGTGAGATGATATCTCATTGTGGTTTTAATTTGCCATCTCTCTGATGATAGTGATGTTGAGCATTTTTTTTCATGTCTACTGGCCTTCTGTATGTCCTCTTTGTAAAAGTGTCTGTTTAGGTCCTTTGCTCATTTTTTAATTGAATTATTTGTGTGCTTTTGGAGTTGAGTTGTATAGGTTCTTTTTAAATTTTGGATAGCCACAGCAATCTTGAGGAAGAAGAACAAAGTTGGAGGAATCACACTACCTTATATAAAACTATACTATAAGACATAGTAATCAAAACAGCATGGTACTGGCATAAAAACAGACATATAGATCAATGGAACAGAATAAAGAGCACAGAGATAAAACCACAGCTATATGGTCAATTAATATTTGACAAAGGAGGCAAGAACATACAATGGGGAAAGACAGTCTATTCAATAAATGGGAATAATGGACAGATACATGTAAAAAAATGAAAATAGACCACCAACTTACACCATATATAAGAATAAACTCAAAATAGATAAAAGACTTAAATGTAAGTCATGAAACCATAAAAATCCTAGAAGAAAACATAGGTAGTAAAATCTCAGACATGTCTTTTAGTATTTTTTTTTCTGAAAGGGAAACAAAGGAAAAAATAAACAAATGTGACTACATCAAACTAAAAAGTTTTTGCACAGCAAAGGAAGCCATCAACAAAATGAAAAGACAACCAACTGAATGAGAGAACACATTCACCAATGATACATCTGATGAGTTAATATCCAAAATTTCCTCAACTTTAAATTGAAGTTATTGTATAAGGCTGGGTTAACAGCTGAACTTGAATCAGTTTTTTTAAAATAACAGCTTTATTGAGGTACTAGGAGCCAAGTGCATGAATTTGTGCACCTTGAAAGGAACTGTGGGCTATGAGGCTATGGTGGGAACAAGGGCAGGTCTTGGCCCATCCTCCAAGCCCCCGCCCGGCCCCTCCCACCACGGTCCTGCTCCTGCCATGCCGCCGTTCCCATGTGCTGACAGTGCCACCCTGCTCGCACTCGCTGATGGCATAGAGCGATTGAGGCCAGCATCATCAGTGGGTGCGAGCGGCGGCTGCTGCTTTGAATGTTCTGGAGCATCTCCTCAAAGGCCTGTGGGGATGGTGCCTCCGCATTCTGGAAGGTGTTCTGGACTCTGCTGTACAGGTTGAAGGATTTCAGCTCCAGCCAGATGAACCCGAAGTGGTCCTCATCGAACAGGATGAAGACTCCAGGGATGCGCTGGGGGTTGATAAAGCCATGGTGGGCAACGAGGCCCAGGCCATAGAAACACATCCTGCAGGTTCGGGGGTAGTCCTTGTCACATGAGCTCATGCCCACAAGCAGAACAAACCGGACAGGCTGTTCCTCCAAGGCTGCAGCCCCGGACTCCCTGACCTCAGGGGGTGGCCCGACATTGGGCTGGGCAGGGCTCTGCCAGCCATGGCCCTCGCTGTCCCCAGGCCTGTCTTCTTGCTGCTGCTGCTCCAGGCTCACCTGCTCATGAACCTCCAGGACGATGCGGGAGAGCTTGTTGAAGTTGCCGAGGTTCTGGACAACAGGCAGCTGGATGCGGTGCATGAGGCTGATCTCTATCGTCTGCTGCCCGGCAGGGATGTTGGGGTCACCCGTGATCTTCGTGGCCCTGGCATGCTTCCCATGGAAGCTGAGCATGACAATCTCTAGGCCGTGGACATCGTAGTTGCCTTTGAAGAGGCCTGGCCTGATGAGGTCGTCTGGGTGGCTGGGCGGGAGGTAAATGCGGCGGTAGGTCAGGCAGTTGTCATACTGACTATAGATGAACTTCATCAGGACTAATTCCTCCCAGTCCTCCTGGGAAATGTCCTCCGGCGTCCGCCCGCATTCTTCTCTCAGCCACGCTCGGAATTCCTCTAGTCTCCCGCCAGACATCCTTTGGTGGTCCGGCTGGTTGCACTTGGTGGAGAACTCATCCTTCAGCATCTGGATGTGGCCGCTCTGGGGCCCTCTGTGGCTGAACATGCACTCCACCGCGGCCGATTTCCTCTCCGTCAGGTGAATTCTGAACGCGGGCTTGATTTGCATTGGGTCATCCACCCGGGGGTAATGGGGAGGCAGGTACCTCCAGCCAATAATGCACAAGCCGTCCACCACTACATTCAGCAGCCCTCCAAAGGGCCGGATATCTGGCTGCCACAGTCCCAAAATGTGTCTGTATGGGTGGAGCAGCTTCGCATAGACTTCCTGACAAGACACACCCATGATCTTCAGGTTCTGCAAGTTTTCACCAACGCCAAACTCCTCCCGGCAGCGCCGCCTCCAGATGCTGTCGGTGCGCAGGATGCGACGGAACTTGGTGCAGGCCTGGGCCAGGCTGGGCAGGTCGGTGCCGGGGAGCGAGGCGAAGATCTCCACCAGCAGCTCCGGAGGCAGGTCCTGCAGCAGCGAGCAGCGCCGGGTTCGCGCGGGACTCAGGATGCCGCCACTCCCAGCACCGAAGAGCACCTCCGCGTCCGCCTCGACGTGCTCCTCTTCCGGGTCCGGGTCCCGCTCGCTGTTGGCCACCGCCTTCTCGGCTGGGCCCGGTTGCTGCTGGCGACAGCGGCATCCCCACGGAGGGCCTACACTGCAGAGGCAAGCGCGCTCCTCCAGCCTGAGTAACAGCCACCATCGCATCCGCGGCTGCCCGGCTGTGAGCTGGCCCCGCCCCTCCGGAGAGCCCAGCCACGCCCCTAGGGCCTAGCCACGCCCCCTCCGAGAGGCGTCAATGGTAGTTTTTCAACAGAAAGAAACTCACACCCATTAGCAGAAACTTCTCTTTCCCAGTGTCCCCTCCCTGTCCTCCCACCCTAGCCCCAGGCAGTCACTAATCTGCGTTCTGTGTGGGTCTGCCTCTATGGGTATGCCTACGGTGGACATTTCACATAAATGCAGTCATAGTTTTGTGACTGGTCTTTTGTGACTGGCTTCTTTCCCTTAACATTTGCAAGTTTTATGTGTTATATCGTGTCCTAGTACTTCATTTCTTCATATTGCCGAATGATATGTTAGGGTATGTGTATACCACATTTTGTTTACCTATTCATCAGTTGGTGAATATTTGGGTTGTTTCCACTTTTTGGCTATTATGAATAGTGCTACTATGAACATTGTGTATGAGTTTTTGTGTGAACATGTTTTCATTTCTCTTGGGTATATACCTAAAAGTGGAACTTCTGGGTCATATGGTAACTCCATGCTTAACATGTTGAGGAACTGCCAAAACGTTTTCCAAAGTGGCTCCACCATTTTACATTCCCACCAACAATGTAGGAGGGTTCCAATTTCTCTACATTCTCATTAATACTTCTTTTTACATATATATTATCGCCATCCTAGTGAGTGTTGAGTGGTATTTTATTATGGTTTAGAGCAGAGCTCTTGACTGTAGTTTGACTTGACCTTGACCTCCATATGGGAAATCTCTTCCATTCTCAGCCTTCACCCAGCCTCTGCCAAATCTCTCAGACCCCTGGTAGGAATGGGCTCCTGCCTGTGAGCAAGAATGCACTCACTTCTTCACTTTCAGTTGGCCTCAGCTCTTTACCTTCAGTTGACTAACCTTGTTAGTTTCTTGGGTGAATGGATGCCCTGTCCGAATTTGACACCATGGACTGGGAATCAGAAACATGGCGAAATAAGACTTTTAATAACACTCTCCAGAGCAGGTGCCCATTTTACAGGAAAACCTTGAATCAGTTTTTTAATAAAATCCTCCACAGGCCTGTGCCATATGCAATTAGAATAGTGCATGAAATGAGGGACTGACCATATGTGTTTACTTCCCCTCCCAGCCGAAATTCAAGAAAAAACATAAAAAGGTAAATATATATGAAAAAGTAATGGGAAATTCCAAAAGCAACATCAGCTGGGAATTCTCACAAGATAGAAAACAGATGGGGACAATAATTGGACCAGAGACTATCATAGACAAAAACATTCAGAAGTGTGGATGAAAGGGGCCACATGCAAACCTGCATCGCAGTCTTGCACACTCAAAGACCTAAAGTGACTACAAAGCACGATCTGAAATTAAACTTTAACTAAAAGCAATTATTGTGGGTAGTCACCTCCTAGGCCGGTATCTTCACTGACAAGGTCAATCTTTACCTTAACTGAGCCTATCTGTCTTTTTGCACCTATAATAACATATCCTTGAAATGTCTGGGTAACTTATAACTTCCCTTTTTCTGGCTTGGGGCACAACCTAATGTGCCTGGGTGCCCGGACAGATACCACAAATTCCTTTATTGTTATCATGTTAATTGTTCCTGCACCCACCTAATATGTGTCTATCATTTTACTTTTTATCCAATATCAGGGGTCCCCCCTCCCCTTTGCTTTCTCCCACCTCTCTAGTCTATCACCATTGGATTTCATGTAACCCACCTGAATCCCTTCCTTTGATTGCAATGTATAAATACAGATGTAACCCGCCATTCTCTGGAGCATTATCTCAATCCGTTGAGGTTCTGCTTCCCGGCAAGTGTTGACAGATTGGCTCAAATAAACTCACATTTTTTTTACAGGTTTGAATGTTTTTATGTTAACTGAGATAAACTGCACAGATAAGAACACAAAGCTTATAATAAATAAAAGTTTGTAATGAACAGCATGCTCAAAAACAAACATAGAAATTCACTCTAGAGCAGCAGTTCTCAACCTGTGGGTCATGACCCCTTTGGGGGTTGAATGACCCTTTCACAGGGGTCGCCTAAGACCATCAGAAAACACATATATAATTACATATTGTTTTTGTGATTAATCACTATGCTTTAATTATGTTCAATTTGTAACAATGAAATTGGGGGTCACCACAACATGAGGAACTGTATTAAAGGGTCATGGCATTAGGAAGGTTGAAAACCACTGCTCTAGAGACTTCATTCCAAACATCTGGACTATTTGTATCCCCCTTCCTCTGAGAACTGTGTGCAGCTAAATGTTTGTTGAAGGCTGAAGCTCTCAGCATTATTCATTCATTCATTTATTATGTTATTTTTTAACGAGGGAGTCTCAGTCATTGTTTCAGACATCTCCCTGTTGCTGGTGGGCAGTGCATGTTTTGTGTTTTTGTATGTGTGACACTACCTTATTTCTCACTCAAGTTTGAATGACACTAATAATATATATATATGCTCTATCCAGATTCAAAGTTATTTTTCCTCAGAACATTGAGAAATTTGACTTTTCATCTTTATATACTTGAGTTGCCGGTGACAGATCAATCTGATTTTTGTCCGTTTGTAGCTCTTCGCTCCTCTTTTAAAAGCTTTCAGGATTTTCTGCTACTCTTGTTCTTAGTTTTCATCACCCTTATTTTTCTACCAGTGAGATTTTTTATTCTATTTAATCCTTCATGACTAGTTTTAGTATAACTAAGGTTTTTCCCCAATTCTGGTATACTATGGTAGTTTCTACTATTTCTTTAAATATTTTTTCTCCTCCATTTGTCTAATTTCTCTCCTTATAGAATGTCTCTTAATACTCAAGATAGTGTTGTAGGAAGATCCTAGGAACAATTTTCTCCAAAAAAAAAACAACAACAAAAAACTAAAGGTTGACTGAGGGTCAACTACACATCAGGCAGAAAACCACATCAAGAGGGTAGGAGCAGCTGGGACACATCGCTCCATAAATCTCACACCTGGCCCTGCACGTGACCCACATCAAGGGAGAACTCAGAACCCAGTGCTTTTCCCTGAGGAGCAAAGGGTTTGAACTCCACCTTGGGCACCCCACCTTGTAAGACCAGCACCTGAAAGATGAACCGGCAAAACATGGATCTTTGAGTCCTAAGACCCACAAAACTTCAGGGACCTGAGAAACTGCTCACAAGTTCTTCTTACTCACCTGCCCCCAGGGCCCGGCTCAGAGGCACCTGATTGCAGGAGACCCTTAAGTGAAAGAGGCGCATTTGCTTATAGTAAAGCTTCTGATTGTTCACGTGCATCTAGGAGTCTGCTGGAACACTCCCGGGCATGGAGACTGGTGGGTGCCTTCTTCACTCTCTTCCTCTACCTTACTCCTTGCTTTTTTTTTTTTAATCCCAAACTCCTCCCCTTACCCCTCTCCCTCCCCATCTCTGCAGACACCTTCCCGAAGCTCCCTCTCTGCCTAGTGTAACCAGCAGGTGCCATCTTTGCGTTCTCCCTCTGCTGCTCTGAGCAGTGGTGTCTCCCAGAGGGAGTGTTTACACCCCTCTGGTGCCCGGATCTTTGCAGCCACCAAACAGGAGACACCTGTTGATCATCTAGCTTGAATGGCCAGGGGAGCTGGCATTCCTGGGCCCCATGGACTATAACAACGGAAGAGACAGTTCTTGGCGGACAGAAGCACAGCCTAGTCCTAGTCTCTCTGTGGAAGAGGCCTATTGCTTGTCCTGGAGCAGGCCTGAGGAGGCGGCTTCAGGGCTGGCACACCCTAGGGGACTTCTTGCTGTCTTGCTGCCCTCAGGGAGCGGAGGCGGGTGGACGCCATCTCTGTGCTGTCCCTCACCGGTGTCTCCAGGAAATGAGCTGACACACTCTTCTGGGACTCTGATATCTTCCAGTGCCACCCAGGGGACACATCCAGACCACCTGGCTCCGGTGGCCAGCAGGGCTTCCTGAGGGAGGTCCAGCAGAAGGGTATGTATTTGCATGCCTGGAAAGCTGTCTGAGGGCCTGGCTTCCAGTCAGCCAGAAAAGGTGCGGACTGAGAGCAGCCCCTTTGGGACACTGGCTGTTCTTGTCACACCTTCAACTGCCAGGAGCGATGGAAAATGAAATAAGCTGCTTGGACAATCACAAAGCTTGAGCTAAGGCAGGGTTGAAGGCCAAGTTTCATCTCCTACACAAAGCCACTCCTTCAAGACTGGGAGGCATGGTTTCTCATCTAATGCACAGAAACCAACAGAGTCAAGCAAGATGAACAAAGGAATATGTTACAAATGAGGGAAAAAGATAAAACCTCAGAATGTCTCGTAAGTAAGCATGAGAATTTATTATCTACCATATTTCTTAGCATTAATTTTAGACATTTTTATTGTTAAAAATAACAAATTAGAAGTAGTTGGGAGAAAAACATCCTTCTTTTTTTTCCCTATCACCTGTGTGTGCATTTTGTGTAAAAAAAAAAAAAATTGATGTTGCATTTCAGCAAGTGCTTTTTTGAAGTTATTAAGATAATGATATGATTTTTAATCTTTAGCCTAAATGCACTGGTTGATTTTTTAATGTCAAATTAAGCTGATAACCAAATTTATCTTTCTATTTATCTATTTATAGACACACACAATCCAGATTTAGTTGACTAATATATCACTTAATTATTGTACATCTTAGCTCATGAATGAGTGAATTTAGACAACAATTTTTATTTTAAATATTATTTTTGACAGATTTTTGTATCAAGGATATGCAGGCCTCACAAGGCCTCACCTCCTATCCCCATACCTTGGGTATAAGGTTTCAACATATGAATTGGGGAGAAGGCAAAATTATTTAGGCCCTAGCAAATATACATATTTTTTAACCCAGCATCTTAGTATTAATAATTTATTACCAGGAATAAGCACAAATACATAAAAACAAAGTTTTATCTCAATACTGTTCAATAGACAATTACATAATATTCAGCCACTTAAATATGTTCTT